TTCCCCAGGTCCCTGCCTAGGTAGGTGCCTTCTTTACCTCTCTCTGTCTGCCCTCTTTATGAAGCCTATTCTGACTACATCAAAACTGAGTGCCCTCTGCTCTTAAAGCCTACAGCATTTTAGTCTAGGTCCCACACTGCAACACTTAATTCTATGCTTTTAAAAATTGTCCTCAGAGTTTTAGGTACTTTTGTAATATCATAGAAAAGCTGAAAAGCTCTTTGAAGGAAAAAACCCTAACCTTCACGTTTTCTGAGTCTCCAGAGGGATTCGTATAGCACTGAATCCACAGTGATCAACAAATACATAATGTTTGGTATTTGAAACAGATTACCTCCCCGAAGCCTCTTAAGGAACCGTAGGAGGTGGGAGGATGCACCCTTGGGCACAGGTGGGCGACCTTGCCTGGTTCTGTGTATGATCATGTGTAAGTCACTCTTTTTGAGTCTCCCTTTCCTCGGATGAAAATTCAAGACAGTCCCATACTTCACTAACTGTGAGACTCAGGTCGGTCCTTCCATTTAACATCTGAAAAGGTTGAATGTGTCTTGAGGTGAACATTAAGTACAGAGTTTCATTGGTGGTATGTTTTTCTTTTTTCTTTCCTTGTGGTACGTACCATAATGATATTTCTTACATTCAGTGGCATGTTAGACTTGATAAAATACAATAACCTTTATAGTTAGGATTGCTGTGAATATTCAAGCCAGGGTACTCAATTCATCTGTTCGGAACTCATTCACCTCATGTTGCCGGAACAGTTAAAGGGTAGTTACTAAATGTAAAAACCAGTCCCATGACCAGGACAAGCTTGTAAACTGCCAAAGTTAAAAACTGTTAGAGTGCATGCGTAGCACAGTCTGCCAAAGCTCGGAGCCTCTGCCCGGAGCTTTAGTCCCTCCTGCTGTACTTTCCAATTTCCCATATTGTAAGGTTAAGGGCAGAATTTTCAAGTTATTAGCATCTTGGAGAAACTCTCATCCTCCTATCCAATAGAGAAATAAGAGCAGACGGAGAGCCTAAATGTCACCATTTCTAGGTTGCAGTGTGCAGCTTCTATCTGTGGGTAAGTGGGTTCCCTGGAATTGTGCCCCAGGTTTATCCATCTGCAGTCACTGGTACTCTAATGGACTGAGGCTGTGGAGGTGCTGACAGAGAATGTAGCCATGCAGAGCAGCCTGCTCCAAGGAGGAGCTTTACTATTTGTGACACACAGGTCAGATAAGTCACTCTTCAGGCCACAGAGAGTGTGACCACCCAAATAAAGGAAGTTTGTGAGGCAGGGTGACACCCACTACAGATGATAGCTATTAAAGGAGATTGTAGTAGTATTACAAGAAAGAAGAAAATATTATTTGAAAATATCCTGTTACTATTTCATGCAGTCATTTGAAAGTGCTTCTTTGTTTAGGGGCTCCTAAGCTTTGGTTCCATGTTGGTTAGATTTTTTTAGCCCAGTGATCATTTGATCTGTTATGCAATTCTCACTTCAGATGGATTAAAGATTAACCCATCAGCATTATTTAAAGGCACAATAGCACTCAAATTGTATAATTACATCAAGCCCCTAATAATCAGGCATTGCATACCCACAAATTTGCTATTGTAGAGGCTGGGGATTTAGCTCAGCAGCATAAGCACCTGCCTTGCAAGCAGGCAGTCGTGAGTTCGATCCCCGGTACTGATTAAAAAAAATTTGCTTTTGTAACTTTAAAAATAATAGGAATAAAAATGAGGAAGGAAAAACTAAAATATGAGTCAATGCTATAGTTGATTTTGTCTTATCATAACAAAAATATATTGATTACAAACTGGAAATCAGTCCCTAACCTTTTTTATTTTATTTTATTTTTCAGAAAATGAAGGTTGTAGTAATAAACTGTGCTGCTGGCAAGAGGGAACAAAAAAGTTTACAAAAAGAATTATTTAAAAAATCTCCCATAAAGCTTTGAACTCTGTAAAATCCTGATTTTATTGGTTTATGCATTTGCTGGCCAAGGACAGAAAGAGGCACCGAAGGAGAGATTCGTGGTTCTGAGAATAAGCCATGAGTGTGGTTTGCCCTGTACATAATTTAGCTGCATTCTTCTATCAGAAAAGCTAGTTTAATTTACAAATGGAGTTTTGATACACTGTAGACTGTGATAAGTATGGGGGGAGCTGTACAGTTGAAAGCAGACAAACCGCAGTAGCTCATTTCCTTTTATTGATTTGAGCATAGAGTTTTGCTGCTGCATCTTAGAAATTAAAATCTTTGACTCACAAAATAGTCTGGTGCAATCTGGAGAGATGGAGGCGTTGTTGTGGCCTCTCAGGAGTAAATAACATGAATTTTTTAACATTCTCCAAGAATAATTTACATGATTTAAAGTGTCCCAATGCAACAAGATATACAGTATTTCTTATAATAGATCAAATTCACAAGTTGTTTGGAAAAAAATAGGAAGATAGAATTGTGTTTGTAGGGATGCATTTCCAAGAATTCTGTATTTCTTTGGTTTGTTCTTAATCCATTATTTGTTTTGAGAGAGAGAGGAAGAGAGAGAGAGAGAGAGAGAGAGAGAGAGAGAGACAGAGAGAGAGAGAGAGAGAGACAGAGAGAAGAGAGAGAGAGTATCATTTTAAATACTTTTGCACATTCATCTTTATGCACATTTTTATTAGGATACTTCCTTTATACAGTTCTTAGTAGTCAATCGTCAGCGTTACACTGAGAAAATTATTTTAAAACTGACCATGTATAATCAAAGTGTCTCCAAAGAGATTGTAACTAGTTTATACCACACCAAGAAGAGGATTTGGGAGTGTGTATTTTTAATACTTCTTTACACTGCATAATTTCATTGTTTTTATCACTTTAGCCATTGTCTAAGAATATGTTTTCTTATTTTTATTTATTATTTTTCACCTTTTGAGGCTAAGTGTTGTAGAGATGTAGAGAAGTAAGGAGAACATGACCTGTTATTTCATCCGTATCTCAGCTCAGTTCATTTGCTTTGAACTCCCTGAGGTCAGCTATCCTAAAGGTAGGACTTTGTCGATGCTCTTTGCCAGGGTGGACAGCCAGTTGAGAGAGAAACAAAACTAAGACAATTCGAGGTGCCCTATCCTTAGGAGAAGAGCATAAGATGAGAAAGATGTATAAAATAGGGGAAAATAAATCAAAGCTTTAAGTCTCCTAAATTAATGCTTTGCGTTGAAAAGGAGGAAGAGAACTTTCGTGTAAGCTCCATTATCCTTCGGCCATTCTTTCAGATCTCAGGACAGACCAGATATCCTGTACGTGGGCTATACGTGGATAAAATGTGTACTCTTTTAAGCATGAAGATTCTAATTATAGTTTTACCATTGCTACTCCCTAAACATAATTTCTAAGTTACTAACTTTGGGAACAAAAGTTACTGGTCATTTGGGGAACTACATACTGTTTTTATTTTTTAAATGAAACATTAACCAAAGCAATCTGAGCTTTGTCTTTTTTTTTTCTTTTGAGTAACTTGATTCTTCAATTATAAATAATGATTATTTAATGTCTGTTAAGTCTTTCACAGTTTAGGGTGAATTATAATTAGCTATCTCCCTAAGATGTGTGGTTTGTGGCTTGAAAGGTTTTCTAATGTCCTCCCTCTCTAGAACTAATGACTCAGAACCAAGAAAGACTGACACAGAATTTCATCTTGTGCTAGGGCTGTGAAAGCTCCAAAGAATACCCGGGGCCTCTCGTAGGCTTGCTGCTAGATAAAGACCAGAGCCCACCACCCCTCTGTCTCAGGATTGCTCCTGGTTAGTTATTGCACTGTCAGGGTTTACTTTGATTTATGATACATTTCTGGGACACCACAGTCACTTGTTTATTAAAAAAAATGTGGTTGGACATTTCTCGTTGTGTCTTAATGAGATTAAAATGTGTGTTTATGGATATTTGTCTTCTAGGTCCTGGTAGAAACAGCTCTAATCCTAAGTGATGGTAGAAACTGATTGAGAGAACCACTAAAAAATAATTTTCGTCTAGCACTGCTAATGCATAATAGGCTAATTTTATTGATTGGTCACCCATCAGCATTGGTATGTGAGGATTAAACATGACTTTCTGGAATAATATAACAGTTGCCTAAGATGATGCATGAACAAGGTTTATATGTGAAGTGAAATTGTCAGAGAACTTAGTTCCAATTTTTATCCTATATAGGAATACCATTTTAATAATGTATCTGAAGAATAAGTTGCTGCAATGTCTTGCTTAGGAGTTAAATAGATTGGAATGGGATTGTTTGATGGGAATGGAATTTCAGTTTTGCAAGGTGACAAGAGTTCTAGAGGTCGAGAGGGTAGTGATGGTTGCATGGTGATGAGAATGTATCTCACACACTGAGCTGTACACTTAAATGGCTATGATGGTAATTTTTATATTTTGTATATTTTATCACAATTTGATTTTTTTAGAAAAAGGGTTAATTGGAAACCTCTTTGCTAAAGTGTTTTAGCCTGAGCTTTGACTGAGTACATATAGGATATCAAATGCAATTGTACATTACTAGATGCTTGAGGGTCATTATTCTGGATGCCAGTTCTCATTAGGAGGCTATGATTTCACAGGATTGAGCAGATAAAATGCATTTTATACTTAGAACCAGTTTGAGAAAGAGCTAAGCACTTCTTTATGCTGTCGTACACCTCCGTGATATATTCTTCTCCAAAGTATACAGAAAGGAAAACAATTTGGATCTCAGTTAATTGGGTACTAATTTATCTTGATATCTAATTTAGGCTCTATCTTAAAAGATCAGCTACCTAGCCTAGTATTTAATTTTAACTGATTTCACGTGTAACTGCACAGGAGCCGGTTCCCTTTCCATGCCTGCCTCCTCTCTGTAAATGTTTTTGAAGGTCAGCTCTGGCACAGAGGAGAATTAATATTAAAATACATCTAATAAATAAGCTGTCAGATGATTCCCTCAGATACCATAAGCAGCAGAAAGTCTTCTTTCCTTTCCTTTCAGGTCCTTGTGTACAGTCACTGCTGGCATCTCCTCCTGGGCTTCCAGTAATCATTTCCAGCGCAGCCTAGCTCTCCTGATTTCATCGCTCTTGAGTGACGGAGCCATTTTCTCGCAGAATGCAGTCCCTCCCTGGGAAACGGGAGCAGAAATAGTCATCTAGCAGTGGAACCGTTGGAAAATAAAAAGAAAATGATGGATTTGGCAGCCAGGGTCTGCACAGACTGGCCCGGTATCCCCAGCAGTGTGAGCAGAGCGGGGTTTCGGTCTTTCCTTTGAACTGTCATGGCTGGTTAATGTGATGCCCACGGAGTATTACGAGGCTATGATTTTGAACTTGGTGCCCTGCATAGACTCTGCCTCGAGTCTATGCCTCGAGTCTATAGGAAGATTAAACATTAATTAAAGTAACTACACAGGAGAGTCAACAGTGTCACGAAGTAGAAAAATATCTGGCTTCCCCACCAGGGAAAGCCGTTTGAGAAGGAGAGGTCTTGTGCTGGACGCTGGCGATGGATGTAATAGGGCTTCACTGGACCCAAGGGTAGGAGTCGTTGCTCAGGAAAATGTTCTGTCTTTGATTCCTGGAAGAAAAATTTGAAAAATTCAGCCAATGTGGAGCCAGCTTGGGAGCCCTAATGGTACAGAGAGAAAGGAAACATAACCATGTACAAGATGCAAGTCTTAGCAGTGGCCCTGACCCTGACTGAATTCCTTGCCTCTTTGTGGCTTTAGTTCAGTGCATCAGGTTAGGCCTGGTAGATTTTCTTCAGGTTGCTTCTCAGCAAGTGGCCTACCAGCCTTCTCTTTGCAAAGGTAAAAGTCCTTGAGGTCATTCTGGACTCCTTTCTGTTTGCACACCTCGTGTGTCCATAGAGCGAAGTCTTCACAGTGTATCAGAGGCCATGGATTTCCACCACCCTGTGTTTACCATCCCGTTCTGAGCCACCAGCACTGCTGCTTGGATTATTGTCTCATTCTCCTCACTGGTCTGCTGACTTCTGCATCTGTTCTTTACGTCTTTCTCAATGTGTTAATCATGTTGGTCTTTCACAGCGTAACTCAGCTTGCTTGCATTTTTGCTCAGAATGTTTGTGTCTCAGGCCCCAAAGCAAAGCCTGGGCAGCATCCTACCAAGCCCTCTGCGAGATGGTGTCCGTGCTGCATCCTAACCTCTGACTCACTGGTCTCTGTCCCTCGCTGCAGCTGGAATTGCCTCCTTGCCCTTTCTCATGTGGCCAAGTCTGCTCCTACCTTTGGCCTGCTTTCCTTGCTTCTTCTGCCTGAAGGATTTTAAAAAATTACTTGTTTATATGATTCTCACTTTTCTTCAAGTGTGACCAATTTTCTTATTAGAGAATCATTTCAAGACTAATTCATAAAAAACTGGAACTCCCTCCTCTGTTAATTTCACATTTTATTTTTCTCTTACTCTATTTTTCTTCATTACACATTTTATTGCATGACCATTCTGTTTATTTCATTGTTTTGTTATTTATAAAGTACTCATGCCACATTCATCCAAGGTCAGTGAGCACGGAGCCTGTGTTTTCTTCATTACAGCTCAGCAGTATCCAGAAAAGTACCTCACACATAGTAAGTGTTCAGAGAATACCCATTGAATAAACGCACTTTTAGTAACTCTAGAGGTTAAATCCAGCTTTGTTGTGTAGCAGTTGTGTGATGTTTGGCAAGTTGCTTCTTGGAGTTAACGTTTTCTCATTTAAAAAATAAAGATAGCTTTCATTTTATATATTAAAAATACAACAGCTATTATTTCTGTTGCTGTTGTTAGTATTGACTGAGTTTTAAGACTACATTTATTCAGGCATGGGTAGTTTTCCTGAGATCGGAATCCAAAAACTGGCTCTAATCCAGGTTGGCTTTTCTGGAAGGAAAGTTCTAGTTGTTTGTGTTTTATTTCCACAAAAGTGTGGGCAACTTGCAAATGACTCTTGGTTCTGCTTGAATGATCTTTGACTCATTATGGGCTTCCACATTATAAATTTTCTCATTGTTTTTAAGCAAGTCACTAAAACTAAATAGAAGTACAGAATGCTGAGTATTCTATTCTCTCAAACACATAGAATTAGTTAAGATATTCTTTGTCTTGTGTTTAATCAACATGCACTATATTATGTATCATTCAAACATTAGGGAGGTAATAGGCACATTGGTTAGCAATCTTTTTCTTTACATTGGCAAGAAAATATAGTTAGTACTCTAATTTGTAAAGAACACATATGTAGGATGTTTGCTTATTAACCAGGTTTAGTGTTAGGCACACTCTTATAATGCTAATAATTGTTAGCTATTGATACTGTAAATTTAGTCCAAATATTTTAAATGTCTCTTCTTCTAAGACTGAATGTTAAAATTAGAATTTAGAATTGAGTACAAGTACATATAAATCATTTTGAACAGATAAAATGGATGCAAATCAGAGACCAGCTGGAGGCAGATTTGCATGATTATTTTAATGCTATGACAGGACACGGACACTCAGAAATTTGAATTACAATCCTTATTTCTCATGCCTGGAAGGGTCACTGAATCTCTCATTTGAGGTGGCCAATATCACTCTATGTTACCAACAAATCTTGCTGATAAAAAATTGAGAGTCCAGTATCAAACTTTCTCTATTTGTTTTCTCTGCACCCTGGTTTGAAGAATGAAATGAAATAAGCATTTGTGCTATAGGGAATTCTAGTCATTTACATTATTGGTGTTATCTAGAAATTGTTCCATGGTTTTCAAAAGGTAAATCATACCTTCTGATTATTAGCAATCACTTGTCCAATCAGAACCCAAATGCAGAATGTCTGCCATGCCACTCTGAAAAGAGTAAAAGATGAAGATGAAGTCTGCTTTTTTGCAGATGAGTCTAGACAGAGTCTTTTCTGCACCATGAAACTAATATCTGACTGATTGAGCCTTGTTGCATGATCAATTCTCAGACACGTGCAAGATCTTTTAGTGCTATTCATAAAACTGTTCATAATGATGACTTTATAAGAGTTTCTTTCCTTTTTGGAGACAAAATTATCTCTCTGCTTTCAGATTACCCTGTTGCACTTAAATTATGTGTGGGGGGTACAGCATATGCATGTGCCTACGTGTGAGTGTGGGTACATTGGTCTTTTGCAATTGGCTTCCTTTTAGTTACTCTAATGAGTTGCTGATTAAAAATAAACTTTGATAGTCATGTAAATTGGAGATGGTTCTAGCTTAAAAAAATAGGTATTTCTTAAAATTAATAGATAAGGCTATCATGCCACATAAAGTGCCTTTCTTTAGGAATAGCAAATGTGATATATTGGTTGATGCTTCAGTCTGGTATGGTATTTGAAGAACATAAAGTTGTAACATAGATTTTCATTTTAATGAGAGTGTTATAATACCCTCATAATTTTTTCACTTCTCATTATTTTTTATAACCTATGAATTACCTAAAACAACTTTAGTCATTTGAATTTTGACTTAGCACTTATTTTACTATGCACAAAATTGTCATTTGAGAAATAGAGTATGTATTTATGGCTTTGGTGTCTCAGGCTAGGCATCAGGGCTATTACAGAGTTTGCAGATGCTGCTGTGTAGAATGCAGTTCTTTTGGGGGCGTCTGTTCAGTGAAGAATAGAAAGAAATGACAATGAAGGAGTGGGTTCTGCAAATCTTGTGATAACACAGTGAGAATCTAGGGGACTTTCACTCTTTGTCCACTCATCTAGAGAAGATGTTGTATAATGTATTTCTCCAGCTCATTCACTCTTTGGTATGCTATTACATTATTATCTACTTAAAATGGTCTAATTAGCAAACCTCAACACTTAACTGTCCTCTTTTTTTATTGTGGATGTCTATATTTGATTTTAGAAATGACTTTTTGGTGGTGGGTGAAGATGAACAATGTCACACAGTCAGCTCTTTCTATCTGTGAGTTCTGCATCCATGGATTCAACCAATCGTGAAGTCAATTTTTTTTAAATGGGTCTATAATAAACAGGAACAGACAATATTTTCTTCCTTTTTGGCCCTAAGCAGCACATCATGACAAGTATTTGCATACTATTTATATTGTGTTGTTGTTATTAAGATCATCTAATATACATGTTACAAAACCTAAATTCATGGAAACCTAAATTCATGGAAATACGTGCACACACACACACACACACACACACACACACACACACACATATGGTCATGTTTATGCATTCATGTAAAACACCTGATTTATATATCACTTTCTTGTTTTTGCTGCTTTTCTCTCTGTGGGTACACAGAGAAAAATTCAAATAACTTACCTTGATAACTATATATATATATATATATATATATATATACTCATATAATTTTCTTGATTTTATTTATTCATTGTAGTGATTAACTTACAGATCATACATTTTCTGAACCAAAGGCATCTCAACGGAGGTCTTCTTTCTGCCCAGGATAGGTACCAAACCTGAGAGAAGAAACATAGACATCTTAGAAGAGTCTAACTGTAGAATTTGCCCAGAAATAAAAACAGAAGTGCACAGTTAACATCCACCTTTTCTGAGTGGTCATGAGGAACAAACCACCAGTGAGGACCCTGGGAGAAGCTGATGTAGTTAGGGACCCGTTTGGAGTCAGGCACCCCCTGGAGGAATGGGTGACTGACCCGTGCATCCGCTGGGGCGGGCCTGTGTATAGAGGGGCTCTTTTGATGCAGGAATCAGTCAGGAGTATCCTTGTGTTCTAAAACGACTAGTTTTGATTTGAGTGTTTTGCAGGTGAAGATTTTCTCTGATTCTCTCCCCCTCGCCCTGCTTACTGAGGATGGCCATCTGTGTTTCTACGAAAAATAACAGTGATCGTGGTCTTGACAGTAGCAGGTACCACTTAGTGACCATCCATGGTCTCCTCTGTGTGCTTTAAAGGCAGCCCCTCTTTTAATGCTCCCCGGAACTCCACACCACTACCTCCACTTCACAGAGGAGGAAACCAGGGGTCTGAGAGGAAAAGCCACTCACCTAAGGTTACTAGCTAGTTCCTGTGATGTCAGAGCTGAGACTCAAATCATGACTGCAGAATTTCTTAGCCCTACAGCCAGGCGGGGTAGTGCATGCCTGTAATCCCAGCACACAGGAGGCTGCTGCAGGAGGATCATTGCAAGCTTGAGGCCAGCCTACACTACAAAGTGAGCTCAAGACCAGCCTGAACTACATAGGGAGACCCTATCTCAAAAAATAAATAAATAAATAAATAAATAAATAAATAAAAACCTAAAAAAAAAAAACCAACCAAAAAACTTCTTATCCCAAGCCAGGGTTTGTCTACGCATCTTAACTTTTAGAGTGCATTCCAAAGTATGCTTACTGTGCCTTTCCTGTACTTCAGGGGCACCGTGGGCAGCATGGAGGAAGCCAGGGTGACCTGGACATGAAAAAGCTCACAGCCTTGCGGTGGAGCCTGACACACATGCCGTTTTAACGCCACCTGAGGGTCTCTAAAATGAAAGCTTCAGGTGACAAGAGCTTTTCTTCATTTTGTTCTGAAGCGTGTTACACAGTTTCTAGGAAAAAGTGGGTAGATGCTCAATAAATACTTCAAAAATGTTTATATGAACAGCTCATAGATTCCTGGAAGAAGACAAGCACGATTCACTTTGCTTATAGTTTTGTGTGTTAAGCCCTGCTCCTAGCTCGTGACCCTGACCTGAATGGCTTTGTCCACAGCTCTGAGTTTGCTCTGCTGCCTTTAGCATTCCTTCCGCGTTCCTCCTTTGTGGAGCATGTACCATGTTCCAGCCACTGTGATGGCACAAGGGACAT